ATATATATGTATATGATTACTCTAAATTTTTAAAGTTTTTTTTTTGCATTGAAATAATTGTAGATTCATTGGGCACTACAAAAGTAGCACAGAGAATTGTGTACCTTTAACCCAGTTCACCCAAAGTTGCTATTATGGTTTGGATATTAACATGTCCCAAAGACTCGTGCTGAAGGCTGGTCACCAGCAGATGGCACTACAGAGAGCTGATTGGATGATGAGAACTCTGACCTTACCAGTATCCTTCATCCATTGATGGATTCATAGCTGAAGGGCCATCAGGAGCTGTGCTGTTTGAACCAAGCAGGCCACTTGGCACATGACTTTGAAGGTTGTATCCCACCCCTGACCCCTGCCTGCCTATTTTTGAAGGTTATATCTTGCCCCTGGCCCTGTCTGCCTGTCTTTGAAGTTGTAGCTTCCCCCGGACCCTGCCTGCCCCTCAGTCTGCTTCCCAGCTGTCTTGAAATGAGCAACTTTGTTTATGGGTGTGCCCACCTCCACGTAAGCCCACAGCATGAGGCCAGCAACTATGGACCAAAATTTTTGAGAAACCAATCCCCTGTCCCCAGGGTTGAAAAACTAATAGTTGCATTTGATGTTAACTGAGGTATAAAATAAAAAATGGAATGGATTTTTGGTAGTTATTTTCTTGCTCTGACAAAGGCCCTTTCAGGAGCAACTTGAGGAAAGATTTTAGTTGGCTTCTGCTTTCAAGGGATTTCAGTCCATCAGTGCAGGAAGACATGGCAGTGGGAGCAGCTTGGTCCATGTTGGCGTGACTCCAGGAGGCTGGTCACAGTGTGGTGACTCACCAGGAAGCAGAGCTGGACTGGAACCTTCCAAGATCATCTCCTAGTACTGTACTTTTCTGTCAGTCAGACTTCACCTCTTAAAGGTTCCACAGCCTCCCTGAACTGCTCTGCCAGCTAAGGAACATGTGCTCAGACACACATGCCTGTGGGGGACATTTTCACTCAAACTGTAACAGGTACCACAGACCTACAGTTTTATTCTATCACATGGTTGTGTGGAACCCCACCATAAGAGAGACAATGGAATTTTAGGCCCCCCAAAGATCTTCATGATGCCCCTTTTATACTCACACTCCCTGTCCCTGCTCCTCCAGGCTTCCCAAGCCCTGTCACAAATCTATTTTCCATCTTTTAGCTTATTTCAAGAAAGATTGAAAAATGGAATCATATGCAACTTTTAGAGACCTGTTTGGTTAAAGATATTTGTTAGTAGCACAATGCTGCTGAAATTTTACAAGTTGTTAGTAGTCTGTCCTGTGTAGGACCTGGTGCTGGAGGCCTGTAAGCCTAGCACATGGGAAGCTAAGGTAGGAACCTCAGGAGTTCAAGACCAGCCTTACCTACATATTGACTTCAAGGCAAGCTTGAGCAACAAAGTAAGACTGTCTCAAACAGTCAGTGCTGCTTTTTCATTGCAGTGGGAAAGTGCCGTAGCTTTCTGTATTGGAGAACATTTTGATTTTAATTTTAATTTTGTGTATGAGTGTATTGCCTGCATGTAGGTAAATGCACCTATGTCATGCAATGCCTGCAGAGGACAGAAGAGGCCATCAGATCCCTGGGAACTGGAGTTACGGACAGTTGCTAGCTGCCATGTGGGTGCTGGGATTCGAATACAGGTCTTCTGCAAGAACAACCAGTGTTCTTAACCGTCAAGCCATCTCTCTAGCCCCCATTTTGATTTTAATTTTAATTTCGAGGGGGATGGAGTGTTTAAGACAGGGTATTGCTTTATAGTTCAGGCTGACCGCAGACTCATAGGTTTCCTGCCTTAGCTTCCCACATGTGTTAAAGAAATGCCATCCCACCTGGTTGTTAATTTTCATGTTAGCAGAAACATGGTTTTCTGTTCACGTTTCTGGATTGTTGTGATCATATAAACATCATGCCATAATTTTTGCTCAAATTTTCCTCATTTTAACCAGAAAAGGCCCTTTTAAGCAGACTGCCTGATTTGTTCCCTGGGAAGTTTCCAGGGCTGGAGGCTTGGTGACCCCAGCTGTTGGCCAAATCATTGAGAGGTGCTAGATCTATGGATTAGCACTCTGAGCTCATGAATAGATTCTGAACTGATGGAGCCATGACTTGATGGTGTCATTGGCAGGTGTGAGCCCTTAGGAGGTGGGGCCTGCTGAAGGAAGCAGACCACCTGGAGTATTCCTTTAGAAAGTGTCTTGTCCCTGGACCCTTCCTGTCTGTCTCTGGTTCCTGGCTTCCTCCTCTATACCTCCCCATCAACACCTCTCCCCCAACACTCCAGCCTAGCCACAGGCCTGAAGCAATGGAGCCCACTGACCCTGGACAGAAACCTCTGAAATCAAGCCAGGTAAATCTGTCAGTTGTTTCTCTAGCTGTCACAGTGATACAGATGTAATACCTCATTCTCCTGCTTCACGTGACAGGGATCGTTTCCTTTCTGTCAGAGGTTCCAAGCTCCCTTGGACCTTCCCACCCCAGCCCTGGACTTGCCCATTGACTTCAGGGCAGGCCCATGTGTAACTTGTCCGCCATTTCTGATACAGTCTGCCCCCTGGGTGCAGTTCTTGCCTCTCAGGCTTTACGAAGTTCCACACAAACCCTCCTTAGCACCAGTGTTCCACCCAGGCTCCCCCACCCCTGGAATGGATGCTTCCACCTGTGTGGGTGCCAGCTCACTCTGCTCAGGTCTGATACCTCACTTTGGGTCACCATGACTTGCCCCTCTATCACTGTGACTCTCTGGGGGGTGTTAGACCCGACTCATTCAGGAGGGCGAGGGAGAGGGAGGAAGGTGCCTTTTCTTTCAAGAATCTGTGCTCTTGCTGCCTTCAGAGTTAATTCTGATCCTTAGTGGCATGTGGGATGAGCATTTAGCACTAGTTCTGCTGACTTTCTAAAAAGTCAGTATTTCTTGGGAGGCAGAGGCAGGCAGATCTCTGTGAGTTCAAGGCCAGCCTGGTCTACACAGTGAGTTCCAGGACAACTGGGGCTACAGGACGACCCTGTCTCAAAAAGACCAAAAAAGTATTTCACAGACAGGAATCCGAATGGGTCCCAGATGAAGGGGAAAGGAAGCAATGTTCAAGCCTAGCATGTGAGTATGTGTATATATATGTGTGTGTATACATGTATATGAGTGTATGTATGTCTGAGTTTATGTATACGTGTATACATATAAATGTGTTTGTATGTGTACATGTATGTGTGTGCACATGTGTATTTGTGTATATCCTTGTATGTATATGAAGGTGTGTATATGTATTTGTGTACTATGTAAATGTACATGTTTGTGTGTACATATGTATGATGTGTATGCATGTGTTTGTGTATATGTGTGTATGTATGTGTGTATTTGTATATGTGTATTTGTGTGTATGTGTGTACAAACATGAGTGTATGGATAGGGATACAGCATGGTCATATATATGCAGAGGCCTGAGCAATACATCTAATGCTTTCTTCTATGGCTCTCACTGACCCAGAAGCACTTCCTGGCTAAGCTGACCTGTGAGGTCTCAGAACTGCTTGTCTCTGCCACCTAGTGCTGGGGTTAGAGGCACCTGCAGCTATGCCTGGGTTTTTAGGTGGGTGCTATGGGCTTGAACTC